TAAAGGGGCCACAGAAACAAAAGCAGACCAGACAAGCTTCAGAGTGTTCAGGAAAGAGCCCAGCAACTACTTTAACCAATGCTATTCTTTCATAATCATGTAAGATGTTCTATAATATTTTTGTTTCATAAGTGATTAAAAAAACTTACAAGTATTAATTTCAAAAGTAGGATATCACAAAAAAGTAACTCTATGAACTTCTAACATGCCTTACCATATGCCACAAAACCCTAAGGTAAAAACTAAACAATTAAAATGTTATTTCTCAACTGATTAAAAAATTCCCTAACAACCATATTTATTCCTGTATGAGGCATATTTCTTTAATACTGTTCAAAGAGAATGGGTTTAACAGACATAAAAAACATGTCATGTTAGTTTTAAAATAATCTGTAAACCACTCAAATAATGTGTTCTTCCTATGCGACCTAGAAAATACTGAAACCAATACTTTGGCATTTCCCCCAGAAAAACTTATTAAAAGTAAATGGACATTTGCATGATGTTTTAAAATATTGAGAATTAATTCATGCACTAAAGTAGAGTTATCTCAAACTAAAAAAAATAATAAAAATAAGAGAAAAGGAGGCAATGGGTATGACAGTGGACAGTCAAAAGTGAGATTTTTCTTGTTTTTATTCCAGGGAATTATTTAACTTATGAAAAAAATCAGGCCTGAGACAGACATGAATGAAACAGTAAAAGGAATAAGAACGCAAGGCAAAAACTAACACCCTCAAAGGACAGCAGTTAAGATGAAGGGCTCATGTTTAAAAAACAAAACAAAACAAAAAAACATCTAAAACCAATTTGTAAAATTTCACCAAGACAGACACCAAATACCTACACATACATTAATAGTTCTCAAATAGGACTCAGATAAGAAAGATAATGTTTCATCAGTCAACTCCAAGTTATTCCAAACTCTGACAGAAGAAATGAACAGGTGCTGAAAGCAGGCCTTTTACAAAGTATGGAAGTCATGTACACTGACTTCATTGAGATGAGAACCAGACAACTAAAGGTCTCCCAGCAAGCCCAGGGCAGGATGACAAAGAAGCGGAGTGTTCTGTTACTGAGCTGCATACTTCAAAAACGATATCATCTCAAGTTGTATGTTCTTTTCCACAAGTTTTTAAAAACTATCAAAAACCGCTAGAATTCAAGCTAGGAAGAATATTCGTCATGTAACAGAACTAGAGTTTACAAAATACTGTGCACCTTAAAATACAACTTATATGACTTATGTTTCTGACTATCTGCACAGCTAAGTCTTGTACTTAAAGCTCACTTTTGTGAACTTAACGCCTCATGACTTCAGCTTATTTAGTACATGAAAAAGAGGAGTCTGTCTCTGTGTTGGTACTTGTTTTAAGATTCTAAAAGTAAGATTCTTAGAAAGAATTAAAATTCATTA